CTAACTATGGGCCTCATAAATATCACTGTCACTATATTCTCCCAAATTTGAGTTTAAATGAATCTGTATTATTATAAACATGTACAACATTTATTTGAAAAGAATACGAGCTGAGTTTCTTGTCAGTTCTTCTCATCTCGAAATCATTCCATACTGACGGTAGATTTGACATATCATAAGAGTCTGTAATAGACCTACATGAATAAATATATTTTGAATTGAAAATTGATAAAGCTCAGAGTTACTCAGAGGGCAATGGAGAGGGCTAAGCTTGGAGTTTCTCTGCGTGATCACATCAAAAATGAGGAGATTCACAGAAGAACCAGAGTGAGAAAGCCAGATGAATTGGGAAACTAAAGTGGCAATGCGCAGGGCATGTAGCTCGTAGGACAGATGGCCGTTGAGACAGTAAAGTCCTGAACAGTGAAGTGGCGACCGCGGAAGATGATGATGATGAAAATGTCTACCACGTGAGATCCGCAGAAGAACCAGAATGAGCGTCATAGCCCGAAGAATTCCGAAAATGAAGTGACAATGGGCAAGGCAGGTCGTAGGACAGATGGCCGTTGAAGCAGCAAAATCCTATAGTGGCGATTGCGTATAATCATGATGATGAAAATGGCTACCACGTGAGATCCGCAAAAGAACCAGAATGAGCGTCATAGCCCGAAGAATTCCGAAAAAGAAGTGACAATGGACAGGGCAAGTCGTAGTACAGATGGCCGTTGAGACAGTAAAGTCCTGAACAGTAAAGTGGCGACCGCGGAAGATGATGATGATGAAAATGGCTACCACGTGAGATCCTCAGAAGAATCAGAATGAGCGGCATAGCCCGAAGAATTCCGAAAATGAAGTGACAATGGGCAGGGCAGGTCGTAGGCCATATGGCCGTTGGGGCAGCAAAATCCTATAGTGGCGACCGCGTAAAATGATGATGATGAAAATGGCTACCACGTGAGATCCGCAGAAGAACCAGAATGAGCGGCATAGCCCGAAGAATTCCGAAAATGAAGTGACAATGGACAGGACAGGTCGTAGGACAGATGGCCGTTGAAACAGCAAAATCCTATAGTGGCGATTGCGAAAAATGATGATGATGAAAATGGGTACCACGTGAGATCCGCTGCAGAAACAGAATGAGCGTCATAGCCCGAAGAATTCCGAAAATGAAGTGACAATGGACAGGGCAGGTCGTAGGCCATATGGCCGTTGGGGCAGCGAAATCTTATAGTGGCTACCACGTTTGTTCATTGATTAGAATATTCCGTCAACAGGATGAGAGTGTATTTTTAACTTTTATGCCTCCTTATATAATTATCTCTCGCAAGTAAGAGATAAATTAGTCAAAATAAACTTGTTTACGGTATTGTTACACGTCATACTGTTTTTGTTATGTCTCCATTGTAAATTTGGTTGGTTGTTATCTGTCGAGAAAAAAACTACAACACTGTCGACAGACTCGTCTGTGATCGGTGCGTTGGCATATGTATATCTTGTTCAAGATTATATAATGATCACGTGATATTGGTATGAGTACAAAATCAGGTCAGCTGTCCTAAAGCCTATCTATCTTGTATGCCTAATCCTTGTTAATGTAAATTGACTTAAAACAACATTTATTTAAAAGAGCGACATATAAGTTTCTTTTTCATTCTTTTTGTGATTGGTCTGCGTTCCGAATGAGTGGTATAGTAAACAAAAGTGACTATTCAATAATGCTTATATTAAGTTGATTTGAATAAAGATTATTTCTATTTCTATTTCTATCTTATATATAAAATTCTCGTATATATACATATGTGTGTATATGTATATTTTACGAGAATTTTATTTTTATACCACTATCTTTTTCTATTTAATCTAACACTATATTAGGGTTAATCGGGTCTTAACACGAAAAACTTAATAATTAACTAGCTGGTTTAACTCTTTTATATTAAAATACATAAAATGTATGAAATAGAAGTAACCTAACTTACTCATTATACTTTAACTATCTGTGAGTCAAAAACAGGTCAAAATCGGTCCAGCCATTTCTGAGCCCGCTGTGATTACGAAGCGCGGTTCGATTAAGTAACCTTTTCTAGCCTGTTGGTGCACGAGGGCTATTTTATTTCATCCTTACCCTCCAGGTTCCTATTTGCAGGATTACCTGACGAGCCTTCCCCTATTCGTCACCTTGGGACGAGTTCTCTAGGCTCCTACGTGAACACGATGAAATAAACTTACTAATGTAGCACCATCATTCCACCTTCCACAAACTAAAATAAAGCCAAATTGAAAATTACTTTATGTATTTAGGTCTATTACAGACTCTTATGATATGTCAAATCTACCTTCAGTTCGGAATGATTTCGAGATGAGAAGAACTAAGTAGCGACACCTCTTCACATCATATATATCGCGCTACAATATGTTTTCCAGCTAATTCACTAACATACAGTAATTTCAATAGAACAATGTTATCACATTAAATTTCGGAGATGACTTCGAACAAAATGACGGACTATGTATTATTTTGACCTTTTAACGGCAATTTTATGTGCAAATAAGTCTGGACTTTTATTGTGTGTGATCAGTTAAATTATTGACAATGTTTTTTGAACGTAAAGTAATATTTTCTTTAGTATATATTTAAAGAACATAAACTTCATTTCACACTTTAAAGTCTTTAGAAGTGTTGAACGATTAGCGTTTACAACACCAGACTAAGGTATTAAAGATTGGCTGAATATTTTTTTTATTAAGAAGTTTGGACTCGTTGTTAACGAGACCTAGTAGAACGAAGAAATTGTAGCATTGCGATCTGCATAGATCTATTGTGCTTGCCTCTTCTGTACATAACATCCTTCAATTCTTGTCTCTGACGGGTGTAGGAAACCTGTCAGAGACAAGAATTGAAGGATATTCTTAGGAGTCATAGAGGAGAATATCTCTAATACTAATAGGGTTTTTATAGAAGAGTATACTCGTATACAGGTTTCTTAAGGGTCGGCAACGTGCAGGCAACACCTCTGGTGTTGCAGGCGTCTATAGGCTACGGTAACCATTCACCAACAGATATGTTGAATGCTTGATTGAATACATTGTGATTTTATTCGAACTATTATAATGCTGTTGGCCGCAGCTGGCCTTACAGCTTTTCCGGACGATAGGGGGCGAGTGCAGATGGCACTCCAAACCAAGGAAGGACTTATGGAGCGGCTGAAGGCCAACTCCCGCCTGACGGATACGACTTAAGTCTTAGGGCACCGCTAGGGGTTCGAACCTCGGCTCAGGCCGTAGTAATTTTGATCCCCGTTTGAATTGGACTGTAGATCGTTTGAGATAACAACATTGTTTAAAAAAAATAATTTTCCGTCGAACATATTATATGTAGGTAGACTAAAATCATATTAATATTATTATCAGTCGAGTGGGAGTGGAGTGCGTCGTAGCCTAGTGGTTTACTGGCCGATTTACAGACTGCAAAGGTCGTGAATTCTTATCTGTTCGACACAAAAAAACTTTGTGTCAATGTATATTTTTGAAATACTTTATAGTGATAGAAACATTGATAAATGAAATTAATCCGATAGACGGCAGTAGGTTTGCTCCCATTGCCATGTAATATTCATATATATCTTTATATATAAAAACTAGCTGTCCCGGCAAACGTTTTGACATATAAATTAAAGTCGCAATTTAAAAATATATATTTAGGGGTGGATATCCCTTACCACTTAGGGGTATGAAAAAAAGATAGTAGTTGATTCACAGAGCTACTGAACATTCATATATATAAAATATCATATACCTAAATCGATCAAGGCGTTTGGGAGGAGTATGGTAGCTAACATTGTGACACGAGAATTTTATATATAACATTACGTGTCACATTGTTTGTCCGCGATGGACTCCTAAACTACTAAACCGATTGCAAATCTGATTTGCACATTGTGTGAAATTTGATCAAACTTGAAAGATAGGATAGCTTACATCTCAATACATAGTCGCAATATTATTTTATTCAAGAACCTTAGCCACAGCAACGCGTGGCCGTATCTTCTATTTTACGTACATATACATATATAGTATATGTAAGTAAAAAAAAGATAATAATATGTGATCCTACTATTATTATTAAATAACAATTATTATTTTACAAATTTTTTTTTTCAGACTACTCAAATGCTGTTGGCTGCAGCTGCCTGCAGCCTTTACAGCTTCACCGAATGACAACGGGTGAGCAGATTGCACTCCAAACTCCGGAAGGACTTCTGGAGCGGCTGAAGCCCAACTCCCGTCTGACGGATACGACTTTAGTCTGAGGGCACCGCTGGGCTTCGAGCCTCGTCTCAGGCCGTCGTAATTTCGATCCCTACCCATTTGATTTGAACGGGGGATCGATCAGAGACAAAGGTAGTGTGAGAAAGTGTGCCCTGCTTTTCAATTGTAAATAACAAAACGAAAACAGGTAGCCATGACTTGTATCCGGAGCCGTAAAATAAAATAATAATAAAAAAACAGGTAGCACAGTGATATCCAATCATTCCACTTTGTTCAAAGTCTACTATACAACGATTTTTGTGCTTTGTTACAATTTTATTATGTGTAAAGATTAGTTATTATTAGTGTTATGACCTGTCCATTTCACTATTAATTCTTTGTATTTATATCTATGTTTATATGCCAGATAATAAAATCTTAGGTCTTTGATCCTAATAAACTTGTATAAATAATTTTATTAATACAAAAACCTTTCATCCCTGCACATACAGATACTTGTAATAAAAATTTATACGGTTTGTTCATATTTCTAAGACTCCATTTGATCGGTGTCGGTTGTATAGTGGATTAGCATACCGCTATACTTCCGATGGTCAATTTTGATCATGTTTGATCATTATCAGCCCACTGCAGTCCACTGCTGGACATAGGCCTCTCTTAAGGCACGCCACTGGGCACGACCTTCAGCCCTTCTCTTTCCGTTTTTACCCGCAACCCTACGTATATCGACTTCACCTAGCCACGGAGCGTCCTACACTACGTTTGCCAATTCGCGGTCTCCGCTCTAGAACATTCAACTTGCAAATACGAAGAGCTATGTCAGTAACTCTAGTTCTCTGGCCAATTACTTTGTTACGCATTTGATTACTCAGAGAAACTCCAAGCATAGCCCTTTCCATAGCTTTCTGTCGCTGTGCTCTGCTATAATAAACAAAAATAAATAAAAACAGCTTCAAAATCCGTTACGTAGTTTTAAAGATTTAAGCATATAGCGACAGTGAGTTTGTTTTACACTATGTAATGATTAAGAATGAACGAACACGTGAATCACCGGAAGTGCTATTATATATTTAAAATAATGTAAATTTGTTAGAATACTAACGTCAGTTATGAGGTTTTTTGACATCCGGCCTCGTCCTTACTCTTCCACACTTCCGGCTAACACGAATAATATTTATTAAAATAACAAATAGAGAAACCTTAATATGTCGTAACTTACAATAATAATAACAAATCACATAGTGGTATTGTTTACCGAGATAGAATAATATGAATAGTTTATATATCTTATCTTTTTTATAAAACGGGACAAACGAGCATGCGGCTCACCTGATGGTAAGTGATTACCGCCGCCCATGAGCACATTATTATAAAATTTAAAAATAGTATAAAAACATATCGCATAGGAGTTCGCTACAATTATTAAGTTACTTTATGTGTAATAAGTTTCAATTTCAAGAGTAACGTTGTCTGTGGTTTCTATCATTACAATGTGAATAATTATAGTTTGTTTTTTAATACCGGTTACAAATTTGACAGTAACAATGTTGCCAAGTTTTTACATTTTTTAAATAGGGTTGAAGCATAATCGGAAATCAATATTAATTATACATTTTTATAGGTCATTCAGAAATAATGTGTGGGTATTTATTTCAAACAAAATTATTAAATATATGGTTGTTAGATTTTTTTATTTTTCACTAAAATAAAGACTTTTTATAAAACTTTTTTTATAGTGTCATATATCATAACACATTTAAAACACACCTATTTAAAATAGTTAACTGTTCGAAAGGAAAAAAAACGTTACAAACTAATACTGCAAAAATTATTAGTTGTACTGAAACTTCAAAAATGTATTTTTATGCTGTATATTACAACAGTAAAGGAAACACTAGTATATGTACGTGAATTTTAAAAGTCTGTCGTGGAAACGTCATTTAAAATTTTAAAACTAATGTTAAAATAAAAGTTTCCGATTAAACAAACCGGTATCGCAGGTACACCACTACTCCGTAGGTACAACACTATAGGTGGTAACATTATTTGAAATTTTGACATTTACCTGTCAATTTAGTCTCTGGGATTCAAAAGTAGACTATACTATAGGATATATTTTTTGATGGATGCTAATGTGCAGTGCACCCACCTGCGCTCACGGTTTACGCTGACGGGGCATCAGTGGACGATGATTTTTTTTTTCTTATTGTATTTCTTCTATGTGCACAATAAAGAGTTTATTATTATTATTTTTTTTCCCAAAAAATCCATCTCCCCTCTTAAGTAGAGGAGAGTGCAACATACCCCCGGCAGAAGCACAGTCGGCCGGGGTTCAGGGCCCCAGGGAGAGAAACCGGCCTACAATGCGGGCAGAATCTAACAGCACCGCTTTCTGCATCTTTCCCGGGAGCGAGCCGCCCTGGAATCCCAACCGTCTGAGATGTTGTTCCAGACTGGTTGGGATAAGACCGTTCACAGACATAACGATTGGAATGATTTCGGTGGACATCACCCCCCACATTTCGGTCACCTCGTGAGTCAGGTCGAGATACTTTCTCTTTTTTTCAGTTTCGGCTTTCACGAGGTTCTCGTCATGCGGTATGGTGATGTCCACCAAAAACACCCTCGAAAGTGCCCGATCCATCACCACGATATCAGGTTTGTTCGCAAGAACGGTCCTGTCCGTGATGATGGATCGGTCCCAGTAGAGCTTGACGCTGTCGCTTTCGAGGACCGGCTGGGGCTCGTACTTATAGTACGGCAACCTCTCATTCCCTATTATTATTATTTTTTTTTTTTCCCAAAAATTCTCATCTCCCCTCTTAAGGAGAGGAGATGGCAACATACCCCCGGTAGAAGCACAGTCGGCCGGGGGGTTCAGGGCCCCAGGGACAGAAATCGGCGTACAATGCGGGCAGAATCTAACAGCACCGCTTTCTGCATCTTTCCCGGGAGTGAACCGCCCCGGAATCCCAACCGTCTGAGATGTTGTTCCAGACTGGTTGGGATAAGACCGTTCACCGACATAACGATTGGAATGATTTCGGTGGACATCACCCCCACATTTCGGTCACCTCGTGAGCCAGGTCGAGGTACTTTCTCTTTTTCTCAGTTTCGGCTTTCACGAGGTTCTCGTCATGCGGTATGGTGATGTCCACCAAAAACACCCTCGAAAGTGCCCGATCCATCACCACGATATCAGGTTTGTTCGCAAGAACGGTCCTGTCCGTGATGATGGATCGGTCCCAGTAGAGCTTGACGCTGCCGCTTTCGAGGACCGGCTGGGGCTCGTACTTATAGTACGGCAACCTCTCATTCGCGAGGCCGTACTTCAGAGCTAGTTCTTGATGGAGTATTTTGGCTACCTGGTTGTGTCTGTGCAAGTACTCAGTGTTGGCAAGAGCTGAACAACCCGAAAGCACATGTCTGAGTGACTCTCCGGGATGGCGACATGCCCGACAGATGTCCTCAGTGCCATCCTTCAGAATGTGCTTTCGGTAATTGTTCGTCTTAACCACCTGATCCTGTATTGCACAGACAAAACCCTCGGTCTCTCCGAAGAGATCACCGAACTGTAGCCAGTGCACGGAGGTCTTCGTGTTGACGTACGGCCCGTGAAGGGCTTTGAAGAACCTTCCGTGCAACTCCTTCTCTTTCCACACGGCCTCCCGCTGAGAGGTACCCAGGACTTCGGGTTTTCGCCAGTCCTCTTTAGCCAGAGAAAGAGGGGTGAATCCTTTATCACATTCTATGACCTCTCTATGCAAACCCTCGTCTCTTTTCTCCAGAAAATATGTCCTGAGGCTGTCAATCTCGCGGTTGTGCATGGTCTTAACGCTTAACAAGCCTCGACCACCAGCCTTCCGCGGGATGTACAGCCTCATGACTGACGATTTCGGGTGATGCATTCTATGGAGGGTCATAGTTGTGCGGACTTTCCGATCCAGGGCTTCGAGTTCGGTTTGAGACCATCTGAGCACGCCAAAAGTGTAAAGGAGTACGGGTATGACCCAGCCGTTATATGCTCGGATCTTATTGGCACCCGACAAGGAACTTTTCAGTACTCTTGTAAGGCGCGCAAAAAATTCCTCACGGATTGACTGTTTCATATCCGTCTCCCTCACACCGATGTTTTGTGACATGCCCAGATACCGGTATGTTTCAGCGTCGGAGAGGGTTTTGATGTTGGAGGGATCTGTAACGATCCCTTCAGTTTGATTGACCCGTCCCCTCTGCACATGGAGAACCGCGCACTTGTCTATTCCGAGTGCCATCCTAACAGAGCTGCTATAATCGTTTACAATAGTTAACAGCTCCGTCAGGCGTTCGACACTCGGAGCTAGTAGTTTCAAGTCATCCATGTACAGAAGGTGAGACACTCGTGTACCTCCTCTCCGATACTGAAATCCAGTCCCCGAATTCTCCAGTAAAGTACTGAGAGGATTCAGGGACAGGCAAAACCAAAGTGGACTCAAACAATCGCCCTGGAATATTCCCCTCTTAATCTCAATCCGGTCAGCGGTATCCGTTAATCGCTCGCCCTGGATAGACAGGATCGTCGTCCATTGCCCCATGCATGTCTCCAGGAACACCCGAACCGTACCGTCGATCTTGTACAGCTCGAGTATCCTCCGAAGCCATGAGTGGGGCACGGAATCGAACGCCTTTTTATAGTCTATCCAAGCAGCGGAGAAATTCCGACGGTTCCGCTTAACCACTTGGCCAGCGACAGCATCAATGAGGAGAAGCTCCTTCGATCCGCGGCTACCGCCCCTGCATCCGTTCTGAGCGCTAGATAGGATCTTGTTTTCGTACACATGACGAGAGATCTTAGCGCTCAGAACAGATGTTAACGTCTTGTATATTGTCGTAAGACAAGTTATGGGGCGATATTTAGATGGATCCGCAGTATCGTCCGTCTTAGGAGCTAAATGAGTGATCCCGGTTGTAAGGAAGTTCGGGAGCGCCCTGTTTTCGAGGGCACTCTGGAATTGCACGGCTAAGGTTGCATGGCTGGCCGAGAACGCCTTTAACCAGTAGTGCTGTAATCCGTCGATTCCCGGACTTTTCCAGTTCGGAGCCCGACGGATCGCAGCAACCACGTCCTCCTGCGTAATGGCAATGACGTTCATCGGTGTTATTCGAGCACATGCTTCCTCAACACCGTGCATCCATGCGCCCTCCTCATGTTCCACAGGTTCAGACCACAGCTGTCGCCAGAAGGCGACGAAATTGGCTGTTTCGGGTCTTTGTCCTGTGGGCTGTAGTTTTGGGCGCTCCAAGTTTCTATAAAACTTCCGTTGATCACTCATAAAGAGACGATTCTGTTGATACCTCTCGACCCTCTCAGAGTACCGTCGGAGTCGCTTCCCCCATGCAGCGACCTTTTGCTTCAGGTCGTCTATACGCTCCGTAAGTTTTTGTCCGAAGTCCGGCTGGAACAGACGTACACCTGTCCCAGCAAAGGCCTTTTTTACGGAGCGCATAATTCTCGGGCGTGTATTGCCCTCTCTGAAGCAGAGCAGTCTGCCAATGAGGACCCTGGCCTGGGTGATCCGTCGCTCAATCCTTCTTTTCCAGGCTGGTTTCGCATTATCCCTTTGGATATTACGTCCAGCCCGGGGCATTTTTGCGCTAGTATATCGGCATACTGCCAATGCAGCGGCAAAGAGGATTGAACTCGTCTCTCCCAGGTCACCGCTGCCCTCAAGGTATTGAGGCAGCAGTCCATTTGCGGCCTCAATGGCATCCCGCGTCGCCACATTTGGATGTAGCCGGGGAAGCTTCGGTCTCTCTTCAAGGGGAGTTCTTCGGATCTCTAGAATCGCCCCTTCTAGTATGCTCCTCATATGCTCTATATCCTGGGAAGTTGTTCCGTCCGCATCCGCTTCTGAAGGCCTTTCGGCAACCATCTCTACGTTAGGTAGCACGTCTGAGATGGGTTGCTCCACGGTCGTGGGGTCTGCTTCTGGAACAACTTCACTTCGCAATCGTTCGAGTTCGGTTGCGCTAAACATACCAGAGCGCTGTATGTACCGAACTCTATCGGCTAGGTTCTGTTCCGAGACGATTAGCTCCGGTAAAAGACGCAGAAACTCGCGGTGCATTACTGCCCTGTATCCTGTTCTGCCTGTTTCCGTCCCTGTAGCCCTGTAGAACGCTCGCATGAGGTCTTCATTCATGGCTCTCGGCCATCTCATGCGACGTGTACCACCAGTGGCGGGCGCCGATTGCTGGGCCTGTGACGGCCCTGCCGGTGCCAAGCCAGCTGATGTCGATGGCAAGGGGTCGGACCGGCCAGGTGGTGTGGCCGGTCGGCTGGCTTGCATTCTGTCACGCCTACCGCCAGTTGTAGACGTGCCCCGGCGGCCCCCGGGCAGCGACCCTATTCCGTTTTCTTTATTTTTACTCGCCATCTTTATAATTGCCATGGCCCCTTTGGCCGCGTAGGTTTTATATATACGCGTGACCGCCTTTCACGTGAGCTAGATGATCAGCTCGGACGCGGGGTTGGACTTTGAAAGGCCTATTAAAGCTATTATTATTATTATTATTATTATTATTATAAGATAAACATGAGGTCAGGTCAATTAGCCCAAATTGACCAAGAAATTATCACGATGGTTTCCAGACAGAAATATTCATATAACAGTATATAAATATATATATAAATGCATTTATATAGAGAGAAGGTAAATGAAATGAAATGGCGTATATCTCTAGGCAGTTCCTGAATATCAGTGGTTTGCTGCTTGTACGCAGTAAACAATACACTGAGGTGCTGCCTTTTTGCGTATTTTTTTTTTTTATAACACACAGCAAACGTGCATGCGGCTCACCTGATGGTAAGTGAATACCGCCGCCCATGAGCACCCGCAACACCAGGGGAATTGCAAGTACGTTGTCGGCCTTTTAAAAAGGAATAAGCTCTTTTCTTGAAGGTTTCAATATTGTATCGGTTCGGAAATACCATTGCTGGAAGGTGATTCCACAATGTGCGAGGCAAAAAGTTTCTAGAAAACCGTACTGTGGAAGACCGCCATTCATCCAGATGATCAGGATGGTATTTCAGTTTCTGGCGGGTGGTACGGTGGTGAAACTCAGCAGCTGGTATTAATCCGAACACCGCGTATGGGCTATGCACACACACTACGTTACTCATACTGTTTTTTTGTACCTGTATTGCATTTTATTTTACCTGTATAAACATATAAACATACAACACGTATTGTATTTTGTTTGACTTGACTAATATAATTGTATTTTTGTTTTTATATCGGTATAAAACAACGCTTTACTTCCGGTAGTCGCGGGTTCGATTCTTCGCACGGTACAAACATTTGTATTCATAAGTTGGATTGTTTATGCCTGTGTATTTTTTTTAACACATACATAATATTATGTATGTATTTAAAAAAAAATCTATATCTATAATTATAAAGTCGGTTAGAAACAAAGAATTAGAAATGTACCACGTAAAGTATACAAAAATACGGTGGAAGTGGAAGCCATTCGTTTTTAAAGTCGGTTAAAAACAATAAAACGCGCGTGGCATTGCTCGCGCGTAATAAATTCTAAATTTCATAATATTTATGTCATAATGTTTATATTGTATACATCTTATAAATTAATTTTATAGTAAATTAATTAATGCGAACTTGAGACTATCTGTTACGTGTTTACTGCCAAACCAAGTAAATATAATCTGTTTTTCCCGGAGACATTTGACATTACCAATGTTGCCAGGTATTTGCAATTTTTAAATAGAATTGCAACACGATCGGAAATTAATTAATTAATTTTGTTGACGATACTGTATTTCTACATTAGATTCCAAGTTGCAATGGGGTGCTCATATTACTAAATTGGCGAGTCGACTTAGTTCTGCCGCTTATACCCGCGCGAAGCCGGGGCCAGTAGCTAGTATAGTATAAAACATAGTCGCCGCCCCTGTGGCTCGTTTCTTTTAAACGGATAGATTCATTCAAGAGGAAGGTTCATAATATGTAACGCAGGTTTGATTCCTCGCAATGTTTGGACTACATTTATATTCTTGACTATAAAAAACCTAAACAGTAAAATAAATAGTTTTTCCTATGTCTTATAGCGTCTTGTAAATATAGCTGATGAAAGAACTGCTTTATTGGCGTATCATAGATATGTTGCTTCCAATCTTAGATACGGCATTTTAGTATGGGGAAATTCAACAGGACTGGAAAGAGCATTTATAGCACAGAAGCAATGTATTGTCTGTTATAAATCTGCCAGAAAAAAGATTTAAATGTCAAATAAAACAGTTCCTTTGCAAAAAAGCTTACTATAAAATTGATGAATTCGTTAACGATAATAATGTTTTTATAGAAAAACTTTAAATCCATAGCACTGACAATATTATCTAATTACACTAATAATGAGTGCGTAGCGATTTCTATGTTGATTATCGCATGCCTCTTACTTGTTATACTGTAATTATTTATATAAAAAAATCTATTAAAAAGAGCAACACACAAGTTTCTTGCTCGTTCTTCTTGTGATGAATCTGCATTCCGAATGAGTGGTAGAATCAAAATATGACTATTCAAAAGTGCTTGTAATGAGTTTATTTGAATAAAGATTATTTCTATTTCTATTCGTGCTATAAACAAACTCACACCCAGAACTAGCTGTGTACCGTATTTTAAAAAGCTGAAATTGCTAACTCTACCTTGCTTATATATTTATGAAACATGTAACTTTGTGAAAACACATACTTATTTATTTGAAAAGTATTGTAATAATGTTGACAATTATCATGGAAGATATCCAAATAAGCTAATATTGCCTATAATGTTAACGGAGCTATATAAAACAAGTTGTTATGGCTATCCGGATATACAACAAATTACCGACCCCTTTAAAGGAATTGCCATCGACACAATTTAAAATACAATTATTGAATTTATTAGTTGACAAATGTTGCTATACAATAAGTGATTATACAAACGATGTTGAACTATAATTATTAGAAAACATAATATATTGACAATACGAACTTGGCATAATTTTAACATTCCTAATTAATATATGATAGTTTTATAAAAATAATAGAATAGAATTGAATAGAAAATCATTTATTCAAATAAACTTAATTTAAGCACTTTTGAATAGTCAACATTTTTTTTAAATCTACCGCTTATACGGAAAGCTGTCTCATCACAAGAAGAATAAGCAAGAAACTTGTGTGTTGCTCTTTTAAACAATCCTTGTAAGTTCACATTTTACAAGTCGAAACGTGTGAATACAAACTACAAACCAGCACTAATTTATTTAGGCTCAAATATAAAAACACAATAAGATTAAATGAGTCGTAGTGATAAGAGCAGACCAGTCCCTACAAACAGCACTCCTTCACGAGTATGACGGATGAGCCAGCCATCACAGCGCTCGACCACATTTTAGGGAGCCCAATGACCCGGCCCACCACGCCGCGGCGTCGCCACATGTCTGGATATTTTAGCGAGCATGACTACTCATTCCACTCGACCACGTCACAGCTACAAAAATTACTATATGGTAGTTAATGTATTCGCACTTTACATGAGGATGCATGCGGCAATCAATACAAAAGCCGCTACGCTATCATATATCAAGAAAGCAGTATGAAAAATAAACTATAACGTTGTCCGCAAATAAAATTATACTTGCTATATATTGCTATCATCTATAAATTCATCTATCCTATAATAAGCTTCTTTACATAACATTTGTTTAATATAAAATTTGAATTGCCTCTCTGTCAGATTTAGCGTAGATTCTGGCAGTTTATTATAGAATCTTACGCAATTAACATAAAATGAATTACTAACTTTGAGTAGACGGCATTTAGGTAATATAATTTTATTACTTTCTATAATAATAATAAATGTATAAGATGCAACTTTAATTGAATTGTATAAAGAATAAAATAGAATAATTCAAATATGTTCTCACTTCACTTCACTTCGCTTCGCTTCGCTTCGCTTCACTTCACTTCACTTCACTTCATTTCATATGTTTGTATAGCTTTGGGCGTTTTCTATATATATTAAGTGTGTATTTACTAAAAAAAGTATATATGTATTTAGTAGTAACGACTACTAATGACCATAATAAGGGTAGACGGGTTTCAAGCAATAATGCGCAAAAGAGCTGCACTGATGTGTAGAATTCGGGGGAGCGCACACAGCATCCTAACAACTGTTGCAAATATATCTGATTATCCGCTCCAGAGGCACTGGATATCGTTGCATTGTGGACCCAGTGCTGCTAGACGTGGACACAGATATGTAAATTAAGTATATATCTCTGTATCTGTAGATAGATAGATAAATTCTTTATTCAACAATTACAAACACATAGCACATGAGATACATTTTATAAATAGAAATAAAGTTTACAAATTAGATAATGCAATGTCGTAATGATGAAGAGGCAACCAACTCAGCATGAAGCTACAGATAAGTCTGCAGCGCTGACATTCTGTTGGCTCCTATAATTATTAAAAGTTACTAATATTCTGTATATTATAAGTTACTAACATAATCTCAGGATAATAATAATCTCAGGACAATTCACACAGCGCCATCTAGACCCAAGTTAGGCTATCTAAAGCTTGTATTACGGGTACTAGATAACTGATACAAGTACATAGATTTATTTTTCGTAAATACATAAATATTATACATAGAAAACACCCAGACCGATACCAACAATCATACTCATGAATATGTGTTTGTGCCGTGCGAGGAATCGAACCCGCGACCATCGGACGTAAAGCGGACCACCGAGGTCGTCAAAACAACTCAGCATATAAAACATAGTTTTATATGTTGTTTACTAATATGGATGTTTGATATTTTAACTAGCTTTTGCCCGCGGCTACGCTCGCGTTAATTTGTGCCCTAAGGGGTGGAATTTATCAAAATCCCTTCTTAGGAGATGCCTACGTCATAGTCTTTGCATGCACAAAGCTAGCATGCAAAGTCTCAGCTCGATCGGTTAAAAATTGACAAAGTTTCATACAAACTTTCATCCCCTATTTTATCCCCTTGGGGGTAGAATTAATCAAAATCCTTTCTTGGCGGATGCCTACATCATAACATCTACCTGCATGTCATATTTCAGCCCGATACGTCCAGTGGTTTGAGTTGCGTTGATAGATCACTATGTCAGTCACCTTTGAGTTATATATATTTTAATAAATAAATAAAATTATACAAGCTCTGCTTAGCTTGGGACTAGATGGCGCTGTGTGATTTGTCCTGAAATATTATTATAAATATTATTTTTTATTATTATTACCGTTATCTATCTTCTATTATTATTATTATACTTAATCTGTAGAGAGGTCAATTCTGTACATGAAATATATTTCCAAAATATCTATCAGGGGGTGACT